ACATGGTGAACAATGTCTTGTAACTAACAATGGGAGAATATTATACGATGAGGCACCGAATTTCTTACTGTTAACTTAAAGCTTTACCTTAGGCGATAATATCGGTTATAAATGATATTATGTTAATTATTTGATAAGTTCTTCTAAATATTTTTCTGCTTGTTTTTGTGAGTATTTATCACATTCATCATTATTATCTATTACGTATATTAGACAATAAATTAGGTTGGAACTCCGATAATAAATCAATTTCCAAACCTATATTACCTTACATTTCACCATCTAAAGATCGTCGTCTTACGAGAGTGAAATCGCGTGGTGGAATTGAGCGAGAAACGTAGATCGTTAATCAAGAATTGCATCAAACATCTATATATCGTTGTAATTTTTCTCTCGAATGTGCCATTTTAACCATTGCAACCAAGACGCGAATTTCCCATTGTTTGACGTCCAAGTACCTTGTTGGTGGTGGGCTTGTAATGCTTCTTCACAACTAATTTCATTTAAAAACGGCGCTACCAAGCGCAAGATATCAAAGTTACTATATATAGCAAAGATATATCGTGTCACAATTCGGATTTTCATCTGGCCAAAGAATTAAAATGTATTTGTTACAAATCATATGATTTAATATGATTGGATATTAATTTTTTACTTCTAATAAAAATTAACGTTAACGTGGAAATTTTCTAGTAGCACAAAGGTAGAGTTCGTTTCATCATCAAAGATTGACATGAACACAATGAACCAACGTCGACATTAAAAATTTTATTTTAAAATGCGGAAGTACACATAAAGATAACGGATTAAACTAATTCTCAATTACCAATTCAGAAAAAGCTAAATCTTTATTTTTCAATTTGTCATCTCCTGTCATTGTTGAATGACAAAAATATCAACCACGTCATCTACCGTTATAGTTATATTCACTTTTGTTTCAAACGGCAGTGATATCGATATTGATTTTAACATTCATGTTTCGAATAGCAATTCCCTGTGCATTTCAGCATTTCAGATGGTAAACACCTTATCGTTATATTTCAACGCGTATTTTAGATTGTCTATTTATATCGATATGTTTCATCGTAACGTTTTATCGTTATGTACATAAATCCCTAATTTTAGGTTTGAAAATCAATTTGGCTATTCGGGGGGGGCGGGTTATATAGCGTTTCGTTTCCTATTGTTGATTCGTAGTTTGGGTAAGTGACGATTTATCTTTGTTAGATGATGCAAATGATATGTTCAATATCTATTTCTCAATAACCACCTTTTTACGGTTCGTTTTCGTTATAAGAAAACGGTTAGCGTAGTAATTAAAAGATAGATAAGCATGTACGCGTGTTTTTACGCGCCTTTTATATATAAGTTCGCGGAGAGAAAACAAAGGAGAGAATAACGCGCGTCTTTTCTCTTCCTTCACCTTCTTTTTACCTTTCAAGGAATAAAGAAAGGAAAAAAAGATTGCCTCATGCTATTTGGCCGACTAATAGATAATTGCATTTCCCGAATTGGTCTTGACCTCAATTAACGTTAATTCGTTTTATAGAAGAAGATACTGCAGTAAAACAAGTAGTTTCTATTAAATTTGATAACAATACATCAAATTTTTAAATGGATTGCTACGATTTTATCGTATTATTTAAATTTTTATCCGTCTATTTATTTTTCAACTTATGTAAATTACAATATGTATTATCTTTAAAGCATTTTAAAGATCATTCCATTTCTATCAAATCCATTTTTTAAACAACATGTCAATTCTTGAAGACATAAATGCCAATTCATGCAACTACTGGTTGTTGTTAACAATCTTTTTTATGATCAGTTACGTCACCCAATTCTATTTCCGATACTTTACACGAGAAAGTCCATTGCCTGGTCCAATACCAATACCAATATTCAGTAACATTCTTCAGATGAGAAGTGATCCCGCGATATATGCAAATAAAATGCAAAAAAAATACGGGGATATGTGGGAAATTTATATGGGTTCTGAAAGACATGTTTATCTTGGTCGAGTTGATTTGATTGAAAAGATGATGAGCTCATCTTCAAAAACTAATTTTTTCCAAAAGGTGACATCTTATGATTTTGTTAATTTAGGTGTTTTACACTTGAAATTAATGAAATGTTATTACGAATATTTAGGGTTCAAAAAATGAAGGACTGGTTGAATTAGGCTTATGACGCAAGGAATTATTTGTAATGGAAATATGAGGGCAGTTCAATCGTAAATTCCTCACAAGCTCAATAATATCACCAAACTACTTGAAAGATTTTGTGCAAGAAACAAAATTACGATTTAACGAAATGGAAAACTACTGGTCAAATCTTGGCACCGACTTTCAAATAGACTTCACAAAATGGGTGTATCGTCTTACGATCGATCTCATATTAAAATTGACAACTGGAAAACCGTTTTACTCTCTCCTATCATACTACAACACACTCGCACTAATGAAAATAAAACTTTCCGGATTGGTGACAATTGAACCCAAAGAATTCTTGAGCTTTATAATGAATTGGTTTACTATGCTTATGTATTTTCTTTTTTCCTCGAATTTTATTCGTCATTACCTTCCAGGATTTAGACAATTCAGTCAAGAATGTTTGACAAAAAATGACCAGTTGGATGAATAAGTATTAAAAATTATTGAAATGAGGAGAAAAGAGATTGAAAGTTCTCCTGAAAAACCTTCAAAAAATGATATTCTGGCGTCATTATTGATTGCTAATACTTCTCGAGATGTAAATTTCTCTTCTAATAATGAAGATTCAAAACCGTTAATGAATAATGAAATTAGATAAATAATGTTGGATGTTTTTGTTGCTGACATTGACACGATACCTTGCTTTTTCTCTTAGTTTATACACTTCATATCAACATATAACTTATTTATTCTTCTTATAATTTAGACTTCAAATTCATTTTACTTCATAGTTTACTATATTTGTCAACATTCAGATGTAAAATCTCGTCTATTACAAGAAATCCATCAAATCTTTGGTATAGATCCACACAAAATAACCTATGAAACCCTCGACAAACTAATTTACACTGAAGCAATAATAAAAGAAGTAGCACGTCTCACACCAGTCGCACCTCTCCTATTCAAAGAATTAGAACGTGAAGATGTAATTGGTGGCTTAAATTCAAACCTGGGACAATGTTTTGCTCAAATCAACAAGGAATACACTTAAGCACGTGATACTGGAAAGATCCCAAAAAATTTCTCCCAGAGCGATTTATAAAAGGTAGTGAATTCGAGGCAAAAAATCTCAAAAAAAATGCATATATTGCGTTTGGTAGTGGTCTTCGTATATGTTCCGGAAGACATGTCGCTATGGCAGAATTGAAAGTTTTAATAGTGTTGCTGTAGATATGATGTTCAATTGGTGGATCCAAAATTAAAGTATTCTTTATGGTGCTTAAGAAAGTAAAAGGAAGTTTGTTATGATCCACAATTAAATTGTAAGTTTTCTTGACTATTTTTAACAAATCCTATAAAAAAAATAATTAAAAACAATGCTGAATGCAAACAAAACGTGGTGTTATCACATGAGTATTTGTTATACGAATATGTATCCTTTAGAAAAAATCATATCTAAATTAGATAACGATAATACCGATACGTAACATCACAGAAAAAGTTAGAGAAAGATAACGATAAATCAAATACATAGAAAAAAATCAATTTCTTTATTTGTAGTTTTATTTTTTCTCTTTCTATTAATTTTTATATATTTTATTTATGTAGGATGGCAGGGTGTTCAAAATTGTCATCTTCTTGAAGGTGTTTAGAGATCATTTTGAACAGCAGCTTGTAGGGTAATTTGTTTAATCCAAGTCAGATATTTTGTGTTTCCTTCATCAATCTGTTTAGCATTTGGAAAATCAGCATTATAAGAACATTTTTAATCAAGATTGTAAGCAAAGAATGAGCTTACTTTAATTGAGATGATTCCTGGAACTTGATATGTCTGATTTTCTTTAACATAGTTGATAAGTGCTTCGACATGACAATCTTCAGTTTTAATAACTAGTATTTGCTCTAAGAACTCAACAAATTTGGTATCCCACCCTATAAACTAAATTGATTATGCAAAATTATTGTAAAATTAAATTCGTGCTAATATTTAACAACTTACAATAAAATGAAATAATCCCTGGAATAATATTGATAGCAGTGGCAAATTTCTTTTCAAGTATTTCTTGTTTCAAAATAGATTAAGTATATCTTGTTACAAATTAATTTTAATACAAAACTGGTAAATTAAAAGAAAACAAACTTTTAGATAACTCTTGCCTCAGTCTCTAAAATATTAACTAGCACAATACGAGCTGTTATCAAATCTTGTTGGGACATTACTTAATTAATGTATAAAACTAAAGAATAAACGAAATATATGTGTTTCGAAATATTGTTGAATGTTTTTTTGTTAATTTTATTTTATATTAACAAATAATTAAACTGATTTAATATATCTTATCATAACATATATTATTTTATTTAATAATACTGGTGATCTTGCGAACAAAACAAACTTGGTAAATCTTTTTATCTATTAATACATATCAGTATTATACGTATTTGCGAATTGAAATGAGTTTAAATTGAATAAATTAAATTATAGATATCTAGTAATATAATATATTATACCTTATTTGTATTTAATTCAAATATCTAAATAATAATTCACAGTCTTAATAATACTTTATAACTTTAGACTGAATATGAATTAAAGTACAATAAGTACTTATAAGAATTATTTAAAGATTAGTAATAGTTATGTTCTTTTAACACAATAACTGGATTGCTAAAAAGAGTTCTCAAAATCTCAGAGTTAAAGTTATAAAAATTATAATATTCATATTATTAGTAATACGAGATCGAAGATAAGTGTATTATTAGCAATACAAAGTCAAAAAGCAATATATTATTAGCAATACAATCTCAAAGACAGATTTATAAATTATAATAATAATTCCTTTATTTAATATAATATTC